CATATCGTACCCTTGGTATAATAAAGTCACATTTGTGGTCATAATTATATACAAAAATGCTTTTATCACATTAAAATAATACGAATTGTGACATAAGTTGAAAGTCCCATGTGTCTGTAATTTCACCAACAAAATCTAAACACAGTAATGCTCACATTACTGTTTGGCGACAGAAATAGGTAAGGTGGCAGTACTTCCTTGGACGAGCTCTGTAAATACTTACTTAAGCACTTTTAATGCCGTATTGCTTATATTTATTCAATATAAAATGTCCGATGTTCGACTGAGTTAATTCAGGCAAAATGAGCCATATAACAATATACATTAAGGACTAATAAACACACAATATAATATTAAAATATTATTTATTTATTTACACAAACAAACAAAAAACAAAAAAACAAATTTTGTCCGTTTGGTGTTGGGTACGTCTCTCTGGAGAATCAGTAGACGGCAACAACACAGAAAGCACTTGGAAATCGCTTTGTAAAGCCCGTAATTAGTTTTTTGAGATCCATACAGTGAAACGGAATGCCTCGTACTGTCATTATTCTGATTTTACTGTAAACAGAGTTACAGTCTATGAACGGGTTAAGCATTAATAAGTTGTCGACGAACGTTTAAATGTCTTCCCTGAAAAGTTGTTGTTTTGCAGATATTGCACCAAAAGAGTGATATTTAGGAACGTGCGTTAGTTTAGTCACTAGTTCACATATTGGCTGGTTTACATTTGCTTTAAGTAGCGAGAGCCGGACAGGAGCCCTTGACCCTCAGGATTAACGGCACCATATTGTCAAAAATAAAACAGAGATAGACGTTAAACCCTCAAATAGTAAACCGTCCGAATGTCGATCCCTAATGCCACTATCCACAAACAACTGTCATTAACTTGTGGGGCGTTGCCGTCAACGAAAATTAAATTGTGATTACTACAGCAAACATTGGGGGGATAAAGTGAATTAAACTGCAGGCAAGTGGAAAACGGTCGAGCGACGCAGCGGGTAATGATTCGTGCATGGTGCTCCTAAATTATTGCGCTGCGCTGTAATTTATACGCGGGTCTGATAACGACATAAATCCTCTGTGGCGACAGTGCACCAGGCTTCGATGCCGACGTACACCCAGCATGACGCCACTTGATGTAATAGGTGGCTTACGCCAACATTTTTCTTTTCAATTGGCAAGTCAACCGTCTCATATCAATCTAATCATTTATCCACATCAGTCAGTAAACTATCATTCATTTTTTCATATCAACATAGTTGGTGGCGCAATTTAAATTTCGGGTAGCCCAAACCGGTCAACCATGCGAGGAGTGCGATGTTTCTTTCGATTTGTGAACCTTATATGATTAAAATAGATTTGGTTGTTTGGCACAAATACCAGTAGGTAAGCTAGGAGCACAGAACTTCTTGAAACCATCCGCGTGGCTAATCTGCCCATGAGCTGCGAGTTAAGAGCGATCTAGGTTCCTTGTCTCGCCCAGGTACCGATTCTTGATGTGCTACAAGTTCACCAAAACGCACATTCACTTTTACTCATTTTTTTCGGTTCAGTATATTTTCACTATAATTTCTAATAATAATTAGCGGGGGCTTTCCGTTGCGCGCGCGGGTATTGCATTGAAACTTCAACAGGCGAAAGAAAGTGTTTTCTTCGTCCGCTAGGTGTCACGAGTTGGGTGACTTTATCTTGCTCTTGCTTGTGCCATTGTAATAAGATTCAAAGATAAAAAAATTTCGCAAGGAATATTCAAACATCAATTCGGCGTAACCAACTGTTTTATCCAGCATAGTTTTTAGGTCAACAAAGTTTAAATCTCTTTTATTCAAAGGCAATTCACTTTCTAGATGGGGTTTCTAGAGGTTGTAATTCCTCCAGATTTTATTCCCGAAGAAACGTCAGGAGATGTAATGATACCTGAAGGAGGAACAGCAAGAGTATCTTGTAAAGCCAAAGGTATGCCCAAGCCGCGAATAATGTGGCGACGAGAGGATGGAGGTGATATTATACTAAGAAATGCTCATGGCGACAAAAATAAAGGTGAGTCTGGACTAAACTTTCTTTAAGTTCTTTATAAAGCGTTCGTAAAGTTACATCTGATAAAAAACTGAAGTACCACAATGGTAAAAAGTCGCACCTTTCTTACTGCCTGTGAAGCTAGCACGACAGAGCGCGATTAGCGCGAGATACTGCTACTGGCGTAGTAGCCGTGGTAGCCCAATGGTTTGACCTACTGCTTCTCAAGCAGAAGGACGTGGGTTCGAATCCGGGCTCGCACATCTGAGTTGTTCGGAATCAATGTGCGAAATTTAATTTGAAATTTATCATGAGGTTTTCGGTGATGAAAAACATCGCGATGAAACCTGTTCGTTGAATAAGGTTCACAACCCTCGAAAAACGTGTGAAGTCCACAATCCGAATTGGGCCAGCGTCGCGGACTATGCTCTGAAATGCGTCTGAAAGGAGACCCGTGCCCAGCAGTGGCATATACAAATGGGTTGATGATGATAACTGCTATTGTCGCATAGAGATCTCGCGCTTTATGTCGCTCTCGCGCAAATCGCGTCCTGTACTGTTGGCCCTACTAATGTCTTTTACTTATGTACTTTATTAAACTTCGTGACAACTCATTAAATGCCGAAAATGGCAAGTTAATATAATATATCACATGTTTTCATAACAGAACGCGTAAAATTATTATTTTTTACTTGTTATACCGATACAATAGAAACGAATGCTGGTAACATGCTGGTAACTATATTATTTTTTGCCTTCGAGATACCGAGAGCATCATTAATTTTTTATTAAGAGTCAACATGCATAATGCTACTGTCTACTAGCAAAACTCCTTAGAAAAGACACATTTCGTATGGTGACGATGCAGATGCGTACTGACATGTGGGATCCCAATTTAATGTTTCTCTTTTCCTAGTCGCCGTTTACGAAGACGAAGTATTGACACTGACGAAGATTTCTCGCTCGGATATGGGCGCTTATTTGTGCATTGCCAGCAATGGTGTACCTCCATCAGTTAGCAAGAGAATTATGATTAAAGTTCACTGTAAGTAGAAAATATCGACAATTCTCTTTCATTATTGTATTTACGTACACATTCATTTGTTGATTTATTTTTCTTTTTCCGTTCTGGGTTTTTTTTTTAATAATAATAATAACGCACACACTCAACATAGCCCCGCACTAGGGAAACCCTGTGTCGCGGGTGCCATGGACACACATAGACAACCACAAATCACACCCAAACTCACGAGAGAAATAAATGTAGGCCATACAAATATTTCTCCCGGCCCGGGAATCGAACCCGGGGACCTCTGCGTGGCAGTCCGGTATAGTAACCGTTCGGCCACGGAGGCAGTTTTTATGACACTAAGTGACGGAACGAACAAGTCGTGCACTTGGTGGTAAAAGACACGCCTATCCATTAAATCGCAAAGATCTGAGGGGCACTGCCACTGCGCCCGTCACTTTGAGACAAAAGTTGACATCATCATCGTTGAGTCTCATGTGCCTGTAATTTCACCAGCACCCTTATTCTTCAAAACTGGAACACAGTAACGCTCATATTATTGGTTGGAGTCAGAAATAGGTAAGGTGGCAGTACTTCCCTGGACGAAATCTTTCACAAGGAGCTCTACTGCTACTACAACTAGTTGGGTTTCATTGTTTAGAGATTTATATCGTACCCTTGGTGTAATAAGGCCACATCTGCAAAATAACAACTTTTCAGGAGAGAGGTTTACAGATTCTACGGATGAAATTAGTCGGTGGCTTTTTTACGCTTAAATACGTAAGTTACAACAATTCACAAATACATAATCGTTTTATGTAGTTCGGTTTATTTTTATATTGATAACCATCATGTGATAAAATCACTCTTGGCGTATGATGACGTGCCTTTATTATACAAATGATACGAAATAATTATTAAATAACATAAGTCACGTCGTGGAATTGTGTCTAATTGTAAAAAAAATTTACACAGAACGTTCATTCCAGCACTGAAATTTTTTAACAAAATATTCGAGAATTAAAAATGTATCATAAACACTGATCTCGAGCTTTCTCTCCCCTTATTTGTCGAATCAATCAAACGAGGTGTGTGCTCAGATACTTAGCTCTTGGCTTCCATTTATCAAGCATTTCAGTACCGTTCGTGTTTTATAGACGCTGATAAGATTCCACTGGGTTTCCCTTCGAATAAAATGCGTTTATCCGTTTTACACCTTTTTGAATGACCCAAATGGGGATCGTCGATTGTTTAGTTCGTAAAAAGAAACTATTTATGGTAGAACTACACTGCTTTACTACTAACAACAATTAACGTCCGTATGTTTCACGATATTATTTTGCAATACATTTGTTTATTATGTTTGCCTATTTCTGTGTTTTCAACAATACGGAATTTTCACAAGTTTTATTAATAATAATGTTTATTTTCCTTACGAAACATTGTTGTACAACAATAAGTAAACAAAGAAAACAAAACATTTATTGTCTCCAAAGGCTGAAGTCTAAACTAGGTTACCCTATGCTATAGGTCTCCAGGACTACCTACGGATAAAATATCCCCAATTTGCGACAAAAATGAATATTAAGAAAAATAAACAATTTTTAAGTTAAAACTAAAGTAGAGAGTACGTACAAATTTCAATAGTTATAGAAGAAATAAAGTAAAATAAATAATAATAAAAATGAAAAAGTAATAAAACTAACATATCGTATGTGTGGTGGTTACATGTTGGGTGTACTGTGGTGTGTGTTATGTAGAGAAGTTATGATGTTATGATGATGTGAGTTATGATGATGGTGAAAGCCCGCAAAAGGGGATAGGAGGTAATTTAAACCTTGATAGTACATTCTGTTCAATGTAAAGAAAAGTAAGATTAAAATAAGTAAGAAGAAATAAACTGGTATCTGTCTCTAGTAATTTGGCGGCAACAATATTTATGAAAATAATACATTTATTTATTTCAGACAACATGCATAGCCCATTCTAATGTTAGTAGAGCTTATCCTAGATTAATACTTAACAACTCTGCGCGCTTACACATCGGGCATTAAGGCTTTCAGGTCTATCAGCTACCGCTTTCATGATGCCGTTACAGCTTTCGCGCACGCTGTTCAACAGCGAGGCAGTTTTCTATCGCCAGACTGCACTAGCACATGCTCGAAGCTCTGCAAACGCACAATAGCTGCAACAGCAATATAATAAATACATTGCACGCGTTTTACTTAAAAAATCAGACAAAATTATTATTTGATTTTAAATTCGGGACTTCATCGTCTATAGAAACATTATTTTATTTATCTCTACGTTTCAACGCGGCAACTACGTGGCAACGTCCATGGTCTTGTTGAGACAATGCCAGAAGCCAGCAGAAATCCACGTCTACGCCCCTATCTGTTGCCTTTAGCAGGTCTTCGCAGGTGCAGCTGGTCGGACACAGTGGGCATGAGAGCAAGTGAGACATACTTTGTGTGGGTGATCCACAAGCACAATGGCTTGAGTCGGATTGATATTTCACCATGTTGTCTTTACATTGGCTAAGTTGTGACCTGAGACAATTCAGGGACGTTTATAGTGTCGAAGGGACTAAGTTGAATCCCTTCGAGGTCATGGACATTGCAATACGTCCGAAACGTCGAGCTAAATAAAATATACTTCGTTTGTTACCATAGATGGTTTAGTGGTGGCCAATTGTAATGCCAACTACAAATAAATTAATTAATTGGATTAATCGATTTGTTCAATTGAGTCATACTAGCGGTTCTCCTTACATCACCTATATAAGCATATTTAAAATTTCCGATATCTTAATTTTAAATCAAGCTTTTGTTGAAAAAACAAATATACGCGATTTAAATCCGGAAAAATAGTTTCATTTCCTATGTGTAACAATCGCGAAAACCTAAGAACTCGATAGTTTTGTTAACATTTTGTTCAAAATGGATTGGAACAGACTTTATGTTTTTATACAAGATTAAGTCCCGAATTTAAAATCAAATAATGTGTGAAAATCGTGAAGGTTAATCAGTGTGTCAGGCTAAATTCATTCCATAATAATAATAATCTGATGAGTGATGTTGGGTTTTGTATTTGCGCATACAAACGGTTTCGTTTTGTAACGTAGAGCTATTGTGAACTTTGTTCGTCCAGAGACGCACTGCCACTAATCAATTTCAGTCGCCAAACAGTAATGTGAACAGTACTGTGTTCCAGTATTGAAGGGTAAGGGTGATGGTAAAACTACAGGCACATGTGTGACTTAACAACTTTGTCTTAGGGTGACGGGTGCAGTGACGGGGGTTTGTAGCATTTGAATTCGGGGTTGGTTTTTAAGTTACAACGGAACACGAATGCGAGTGTGATCCTGGACCTTCTTGCTTATCAAATTGAGGGCCTTCAGACCTTTAGGATTTGAATTTTTGAATTGACTCATTAACTGTTACGAGTAGGCGTGTCGCTTACCACCAGGCGAACGACTTGTTCGTCTGCATTTAAAAAAAATTATAAAGCAAAAACTCTAAAACAAACTATGTTTTGATAAACTGCATATTAAGACACTTCAAATCAATCGTTAATAATACAATTTCTACCAATTAATCAAAATTCATTGCTTAGTTTTTATTAAAATATACATTGTTGCACTCCATAACAGCATACATACTTGAATACTTCACGCTTCATCTCTATAGAAAGTACAATTTTACAAAAATCTGTATTGAACATTTCTGGCGTAATCGGGCAACGATGAGTACTTGTGTTCGTAGCAAGCTGGTACGATTAATATTTATGACGTAAAAGTGAATTTCATTTATCCCTACATGTAAATTCTGGGATGACGCAGTAAAGCCAAATATTGTTTATTTACACTTTAATATAATAGTAAAAAGAGGTTATGGAAATTTTAGTTTTTATTAGGGTTATAGAGAATATATCATAAAGGCGACGTTAACCCAGTGAGAGAACATTTGCGTCTCAATTGAAAAGTCCATGGTTTGAATCCCCGAGGTATGTACAATGACTTTAATTTTCTTTTTATAATATCAAGTGACGGGGCGAACAAGTCGTGCGCCTGATGGTAAGCTACACGCCTGTCCATAACAGTTGCAATGCCACTCGAGCGTTCAATCACAACACAAATCTGAGGGCCACTGTGCCCGTCACCCTCAGACTTGAGTTGAAAAGGCCCTGCCTGTAATTTCACCAGCACCCTTACCCTTCAAAACCGGAACACAGTAATGCTGGCATTACTACTTGGCAGCAGAAATAGGTAAGGTGACAGTACTTTCCTGGGCGAACTCTTTCACAACGAGCTCTAATGCTATTAAAAATTTAAGTATTTTGTTAAGTTACATCTATTATGAATGTTTAGTCACAATACCTCTCGCTAATAGTGAAGGGAAACGTGATGTAATCTGCAGGTCGCAAAAGGTTCACAACCCTGAAAAAATGTGTGAAGTCCTTGAAACATCACTACGCCAGAGTGGCGGACTATGACCTTAACCCTTTCCTGAGTCGAACGAACGAGTATTATTTCTTTCTTTTCTTCTTTCTTCCTTAGGATGTTGATTAATTGATGATGATTGACCAAAAGTGACTTTATTGATCAAGAAATAATGTTAATTACTATTGTAGAACAGGGATATGGTAAAGAGCGTCGGCCTCACATAATCATTCGCTTATGCTTCAAAAAAACCTTTCTCTGTACTGTTCATAATGAACATAATAATTAAATTAGAATAAAATAAAGCATGCTAAAAAAGAAACGGAATTCGTCAAAATATTCCAAATGACTGAAATGAAAAAAATGAACCCAGCATCACTGTATACCCGTAGCAATACACTTGAACCACTCTAATAGGATGCAGAACTCGCATAAACAACTTCGTTATACTGTCACTGCCTACACGATTCTTATTTTCTTTGAAAGTATTTTTTTCTAAAAAAGCCGTGCCCATTTACTGAACAAAAGAGGTTCTCTCAAATTCCTGGAAAACATTGTTTATCTCAGCAAGTTTCTTGTTATTAATGGTGTTATTTAATGTCAGAGAGAGGTTTTAATTATTTTCTAGATAGAAATCGTTTGTGTCTACGTGTCAACTCGGGTGAGACGTTTTGTTTTCCGCAGGGTATTAAAGTACAGATGTAAAAATACGTTATTATTTAATTTGACAAAAATAAATAAAATAAAATGAGCTTTTATTTCTACTACAGCATAATTTTTTCATTTACATTTACATTCTTATTACCTAGCAATAGTAGTAGTCGCTTCCTCGCCATAGGCCTCCCCTATTATTTACCATATTCTCATTCACTGGCTTTCGTCATCCACTGTAGTCTTGCTTTTTTATAAACGTGTCTTCCCATCTTTTCTTCTGCAGACTTTTACGTCTTATTTCGTTCCTCGGTATCCATTCAGTCACTCCACTGATCATTATCAATGCCGCATACGTACTTCGCGTACTCTTGTTTAAGATACCGAATGTTTTATGTAGTTTTAGTAGCAATGGAGCTCCTCGTGAAAGAGTTCGTCCAGGCAAGTACTGCCACCTTACCTATTTATGCCGCCAAGCAGTAATGTCAGCATTATTGCGTTCCGGTTTTGAAAGGTAAGGATGTTGGTGCAGGCAGCGGGATTTATCAACTTCTTCTTCTCAACTGTCTCAGGGTGACGGGCGCAGTGGCAGTGCCCCTCAGATCTTTGCGATTTAAAACTCTGAGTGGCATTGCAACTGTTATGGACATGCGTGTAGCTTACCATCGGACGCACGACTTGGCCGTCCTGTCATGTTATGTTTTGGAATGTACTGGGTTTACCAAAGCCTATTATAGACCTCTTAAAACGTCGTTATTATTCATTTAATTATCTTTATTTCTTAATTTATTATTGTCATCGATCAATCAACATCGTTATCATTTCAGCGAATAAAAAGATTTAATGAAATTTAAACAAGTACTTATATTTCTATGTGGCTATGAACCGTGAGGAGTGGAGGAGGTTACACCGATAAGAGACGGGCTTTATATAGAGATAATGATATTATTATTTATATAAGAATAGATAATTAGTAAATTGCGTAGGTTTTTTACAACAATGAACTACCAAATATATGTATAAATAGATTGTAGCAATCATGTTTGTGTATATCATTATGAATTATATCTCATCCTGTGTGCGCAGTCCACCCGGTGATCCAAGTACCAAACCAGCTGGTGGGCGCCCCTCTCGGCACTGACGTCTCCCTCGAGTGCTACGTCGAGTCCTCGCCAAAATCTATCAACTATTGGGTCAGAGATTCCAGTAAGTATGAAGCTTCAATAAAATAAATTTTGTATTATCTTCAGACTCATGCAATCGCCAACCTCTACGTATACAATCCTAAACAAAATGAATGGACATATAATAATAATTCATTTATTTCGTGGACCCGTAGTGTTAGTTACAATGTCACTTACAAATTAATATTAGTAATTCACTCAATAAAGATTTATACAGTTGCATTATTATACAAAGAAATTTTACGAATTTAATTATTACAGAATTACACTCATCATCATCAAACTTAAGAGTATAATCTTGTCGGTGGAACATCTTCCAGTCATCTCTCCTACAAGCCAGCTCCTTGACCTCCTTATAAGACACGACACCGGCCTTTTTCTTTATTTGGTCTATGTAACTGCGCCTAGGTCGACCTCTTCCCCTCTTCCCCTCGAGTTTTCCCTCCGAAATGTTCTTAAAGTTGTCGTGACGTATCAAATGTCATTTTCCCGCGTCTATACTTTATATAGTATTTAATTACATTAAACAAGTTTAAATTATTATGGAATGAAATTTTACAAATTGAATTATTAAATATGCAATTAGGTAAATGAAATTAATTACTACACAATTAAATATTATACAATTCCTATGACTATCTTCATCCAATGCGTCTGGATAGGACAATTAAATCTAGCGGCAATAACCTTCAGGACACCATTTGAAGTTTAAACCGCCCGTTCGGGCATCGGCAAACGTGCCTTACGCGCTGCAGCACCGCGGTAGATGCAATAGTATACGGAAGATATTATTGTTGTACCCGTAGAGCGCTGAAAGCGCGACGTGTGTAACTCACCCACAAACCACTCGAGTATAAATTGTAAATACATAACTTACGCATGTACAATTTTGACGAAAAAATGAATTTACATTGCAATACAGCACTACATTTTGAATAGCCTAGAAGGTTCTTGAACCTTTTATTAATACTTTACTAAAATCCTTATTAATAAAAATTACTTATTCTGTCGAGTGTCAAACAGTGAACATTTCCTGATGATGCCTCCTGAACAAGCGTGATTGTGGTGATTTTAGTTCCTTTTGTGTTATTAAGTTTATGCGTTGGGAGGGTAGGAAAATTAACTAGATAAAAAATATTCAACATAGGCGCAGTTATTTTGCATGACCTAACCTTCACTGGGTTCACGCAGTAGCAAAGTGAATTTACTTTACTTATTCTTTACTTTTACTATGTAAGAACTTTTACGTCTTTATATTGCCTGCAATATAACATACAATAAGTTACGTTCATCCGTGCTAAAGACAACCATATAGGACGCTATTATGACCACTGGTAAAACCTGTTGTACTTCTAGCCTAGTTTCGATTGCATTTTCACTTCAATTCACTTCTTGAAAAAATGATTATGAAATAACTCCGTGCAAAATAAGAAGGTAATCGGCAGACGGGAGCTATTTCTGACTGGTAACTGTTAATACCTTGAACTTTGTGAGATTGATGGCAATCGTATCGATGAATTAAGGAGTTTAAACATGTGTTTCTTGAATACGAACTCGAATGACACACTCGTGTGCAGTTTAGTACCTATACTGACTGGTACTAAAGACAACATCACACGCGTTGCTCTGTTCCAAAATTAAGTAACTAAACCTCTTGTGCTATGAATATCGGAAACAACAATGTAACCACAAATACCCAGACCAGAGACAATATAGAAAAAATAGTTTTTTACGTTGATCCGGCCCGGGATCGAACCCTGGACTTCACAATGGCGACATCATGAAAATCGGTGGGCGATTTTAGGACAAACAATAAAAATCAAAGAAAAAATTTTTAGGTGATACTTTCGCAAAACTGTGAGCTTATTGGTTGACAACTTATTGCTTATCAACATCCAATTCCAATAGTTATGAATTTGAATACCTTATTTATAATTTACCAAAAATTCCCAATCTATTGTATTCAAATAATTTAATATTAGGGGTTAAAGTATGAAATTGCCGTTTTATTGCAATAGGTTCTTTGAATTTTCATAGAATCTTCATGGTTTGAGGTTTTCGAATGAAACTTTTTTCAAATGGTTTCTGTGATTTTTTTTTTTTAAATTTGAAACATTTGAATATCGACTTTCAATTGTTTTTGTTATTCAATTTAGACAAGAAAGATGGATACTGCGAAAATTGGAGTGATTTTTGAATACGAGTTCCGACGCGGAACTAACGCGGCAGAAACAGCCCGCAATATCAATGCTGCGTTTGGAGAGGGGTCTACTAATGAACGCACCGTGCGATTTTGGTTTAAACGCTTTCGTGATGGAAATTTCGACTTAAAGAACGAGCCACGAGGAAGACCGCCCACACAGGTGAATAACGATGAATTAAGAGAGATAGTGGAAGCCGATCCTAGTCAAACTACCCAGGAATTAGCGGCATGGTTTAACGTTACCTGACCCACAATATTGACTCACTTGCGTCAAATCAATAAAATAAAAAAATACGAAAAATGGGTGCGTCATGATTTGACTGATCTGCAGAAAGAAACGCGTGTTGAAACTTGTGTTGCCTTGTTGAACCGGTACAGAAATGAAGCAATATTGGATCGAATTGTAACATGTGATGAAAAGTGGATTCTTTATGATAACCGGAAAAGAAAAATGCAATGGCTGACCCCAGGTCAAATGCCACAACAGTGTCCTAAAGCAAAACTTACCAATAAAAAGGTAATGGTAACTGTTTGGTGGTCTCAGCATGGTGTTATTCACTATAGTTTTCTCCGATCTGATCAAGCAATAACGGCAGATGTCTATTGTGCCGAACTCCGAACCATATTGACAAAACTAGCAGTAAAACAGCCCCGACTCGTGAATCGATCTTCACCATTATTGCTCCACGACAACGCGAGACCTCACACAGCACGAGAAACCATTTTGACCCTTCAGGAACTGCAGTTAGAAACCATTCGTCATCCTCCGTATTCACCAGACCTTGCTCCAACGGACTACCATTTTCTTCGTGATTTGGACAATTATCGACGTGACAAGAAGTTTTCTTCCCAGGAGGCAGTAAAAAATGCTTTCACACAGTTTGTGCAGTCTAGATCGTCGGAGTTCTATCGCAAAGGCATTAATAACCTTCCCATTAGATGGCAGCAATGTATAGATAATAATGGCAACTATTTTGATTAAATAAATTTGTTAAAAATTTAAAAAATAAACAATTTAGATTTTCAGTACAAATCGGCAATTTCATACTTTAACCCCTATTA